GGCATTTTGTTCACTGTTATGAGTACTATTATTTGTCTGATTCCATGATTAATTATTGCATTTTTTTTAACACCCATTGCTTGTAAAATGTCATATATCTGTTCAGAGTTATCTATTCAGGAAACATTTTTATAAAGAAAAGTAATTTCCTTTCACTGTTGCAATTTTTGTCTGCAATTCTTCCTTCTTTATTTTGGCACTTTGATCTAGGTTCACCAGTTTCCTTACATTGTTCTTTTGTCAGTGTCTGCAACTGCTCAGTTATATTTGTGTGAGACTTGCCTATATTCTCTAGCTATTTTGAATTCGTCAGGCAGTTTCTCTTCCCCCAACCCCCATACACACGTGACCCAATCTGTCTCATTCTTCTACACCCAGTTAGGCCCTTGTTGAAAACAGTGGCAAAGAAATTATATTAATATTCTGAATAGTGATCCAGTAAGTAATGATAAGGCAAGACTTTATACAGCCTAAATTTAATAACATAGTTTTCATAAGTGCAAGATATATAACCTTCTCATTCAACTTCACTTCTGCAATGTACAAGGTTATTTATTCATACTTCACATAATATTTAAGCAAAATTTAATATCATTTCATGCATCTTTCAGAGATGTCATAAGATGTTGTGATACGTGTACTACAGTGGGTAGACATAGGCCAGGTACAGACATTCAGTTTCTACCAGGAGAATTGCTGTTCTCCTGGTAGAAACCTCAAGTGTACAGATGTTCAGTTGTCTTCTCCCAGAGCAAAAATGGGTACTCCTTGAGAAAAATAACTTAGCAGCAACCAGGGTTAAATTGCCGCTTGGCTCCACTATATTTCTTTGTGTGCCAACAATATGAACATGGGTGGCTACAGTAGGAGGGATCAACAACTCGTGGCTGCTTCGTTAACCTACGGCTGCTGGCTGGCTGGCTGGCAGTGGGCAATTCCAACAGCATCTTGAGAGTCTCCTCCATGTGTGGAGGACTACTTTCTCTTGTCTTCCCCCAAGAGTTACTAACAGTCTGTAAATTTATGGATGCTCCATGTATTTAAAAATAAATAAATACACTTAACTCTATTGAACTCTTGTAGTGTGACAACAAAATCTGATATTTAAAAAATGTATGTTGTTCATGTCAAAGTTACCCAATAAGTAACCTTGTAGACTTGAAGTACTACAGCGAAAGCTGTGTAAACTGCCTTATGCGGCTTCGCTAATGTCTTCACCTGGAAACCTATGTATTCTCTGCCCTTATTCCTTTCTTAGTTTCTGTGTCAAGTAGTTCTTCAGCACGTGAATTAAAGCAATGGGATTTTTGTGTGATGTCCATGATTTTCACTAGTAACTGAATGGGGACTCTAACAGGGCAAGGAACAGCCCTGTTCCTTTGGTGCTACAAAGTTGCAAGTGTGGGGGACAGTTGGGTTAAGAACAAAACAAGGATAATTACTTAGTAGGCACAATTGGGGAGCGGAATTGCACCTAGGGTGAATGTTGCCTGATTAAAAGCCAGCAGCTATTAAAGTCCACAGCAGGAGGCTTTTCTTTGCCCCCAGGGTACGGCATGAGGAGAGTCCGTGGGGAAAGCCAGGAGCGGCAAACCCAGCACTGTAACAGATCCTTGATAAGACTGGCTGAAGGTAACTACAGCAGCCATCGAAGCAAAGAGGTGAGGGAGAGAGAGGAGATACTTATCAGATTGATCCTCAGACAGAGAGAAGTTTCCACGGAAGAAAGATCTGCTGATACCTGTGAAGGAAGGAAAGAGAGTGAGACTGGAAGCGAGCTGACAGGCTCAGGGGAGTGGGTTGCACGGCAGTGGAGGGTGAAAGAAGACCGTGCACTTTGAGAACAGCTGGGGTTATCCACAACCTGCAGGGAATTCACTAATTTAAACCAGTTTTTATCCCGCTTCTGGGGTGATTTACTACACCCTCTCTTGTTGGGGAATTAACTTCTTCTTCCATCAATTCAAGGTGTGGCAGATGAGCCCCAGGGAGAGAAATTTCGTTATTCACCCCCACACGGCCACAGGGACCATTGGTTTGTTAATATAGATCTTCCCTACAGAAATGAATAAGTAATTAACTTGGGTCACTTTCTACTGTCTACCTGGCTGGGTTCATATTCCAGGCTTCTCAGCCACTAAGGCAAGGGTGGGCAAAATGGCGGATCCAGCCAGTGGCTGGATTCCCATTTCCCAGCAGTCCCCTGCCTGCATCACTGTGGCCAGTTTCCATGGAGACCCCAGTAGCGGTAGCGCCATGACAGTGTGGGGTCAGGGTTTCCATGGAGACTGGCCCTAGCAGCACTGGCAGTGTGGCTGGGCAAGAAGCTGTTCCAGGGTGGGATCTTGCAATGATGACAACATGGTCCAGAGCTGGGGCAGAGCTGTGATCAACTGCCTGCATGCCCCAGGCACCCCCTTTCCCCTTCCCAGATCCAGAGCATGCAGGCAGCGGATCGCAGCTCTGGGCCATGATGTCACCACTGCAAGTTCTCAGCCATGGTCCCAGAGCAGTTGCATGCCCTGCCAGCGTGACTGGGGCTGGTCTCCATGAAAAACTTGGCCCTGCGATATCATGGCACCACCACTACTAGGGTGTCCATGTAAACTAGCCACAGCAATGCAAGTAGGGGCTGCTGGGAAATGGAGCCCTCCATGGGCCTGGTCTGGCCTGCAGACAAGACTTTGCCCACCCTTGCACTAAGAGTACGTACAGATGTTCAGGGAGGTTAGGGGGCTGTTAGATTGAGTTAAAATGGCCATCCGATCCAAGGTAAATTTGGATGATGGGGAGAGGCTTGGGAGAGATTGGGGGCAAACAGCCGGGGCAGGGAGGATCGGGGTATTGGGGTGGGAAGATGGGGTCTGCAGGGGGGGATCAGGGGATTTGTGGGGGCGGCCAGGTGGGGTCTGCAGAGGGGATTGGGAGCTGGTGGGGACTTCAGGGGGTTGGTAGGATTGAGGGGCTACTGGGGTCTGCAGGGAACTTTGGGTGGATGGGGACCTCTCTCCCCCACCCCCTGGGACCAGGGTCTATTTTTAGCCCCCTGCCCTCAGACGAACAATGTGCCCCAATCTAACTGTCCTGAACTTTTATACAGTTCTCACTTAGATCGACCTAATTAGGGATCTAAAAGTAAAGTCTGCACCTGGGTGAAGTAAATTAGAGTAAGTGGCTATTTTTAACACCATCTATCCTCCCCTTAAGCCCCAAATGTCTGTGTGCACCCTCAATCTGCTAGACTGCTTTACTTTTGAACATCTTTGCATTCAAAAGCATTTTATATCTTGTGTTTCTTATGCATCACTTTTAAATAAATGGTTCTTTACTTAAGTGGTGCAGCTAATTGAAACTGACTTCCATGTACATTAAACAGGGTTTCCCATCTACATACTTAGAACAATAAAAGTCTGTGTTCGTAGCTTGAAACAAGTAGTGCTGTATTTTCAGCTAAGTTTAAACTGATCTTTTAAAAATCTCCCTCCTTGCCTATCATCTCATTTACACTTTGGTTTTGCAGAACATCCTTTTCTGATGCCTTTGCCAAAAACTAATAATTTCTGGGTTTCTGGTGTATAGCTGTTTTGCAAATAACCAAGTAAGAAAGAAGGAAAGAAAGAAATGTGGACTCTAAAATGGAGTTGCCTACTTAGTGATTTTTGTAGGATAAATTCCTACTGAAGTGAAGGAGCATTCAGTCCCAAATTGTGTCAGTGAATAAGCTAACAGTATAAACTAATTCTCCTTATGCTGAATACTTTGCCATGGCCCTGTTCATTCTGGTTCAAACTGAACTAAAGCATGGGTCTCTACAGAGCTTACCCAAGCTGCTTATTAAATTAATTTAAACACATCTGGCTGACTGCTGAGAAATAAGCAACTTTTGAATAATATTTAAAAATTGCAGTCTAGCAGAGAACAGTAGAAAGTGTTTGATTTCTTTATCATTTGGCCTGAACCAGGCTGGTGGACTAGTCTGTGACAGAAGCTATTTAATCTACATCTGAGTGAAACAGTTCCCAAATTCATTGTAAAGGATAGTATAACGAGGCTTAAAACTGGATCCTTGAGGCAATATTCTGTCTTCAACATAGTCTTTTATAATTCTGGGGTTAATTACTTCTAGCCTTTTCTAAGAAAAATAAAACACAGTTAAAAACTAATGGAAGCAGCAAATGTCTTTTTTCATGCTGCTTTCCCACTGATCTTGTCCTCATTTAATAGGCCATGTTTTCATAAGCATTTCAAATTTTTTCTCATCATCTGCCCTCACAAGTGACCCAGTGACCTGAAAATCCAGAAAATGTCATGTTAGTGGCTACTAATTAGTGGATCCAGAGAGCCTCTTCATCTGGCCTTTCAACCTTCTACATGCAGCAGCAAAAGCTGTCATACGTATCAGACAAAGAAAACAAGCCTTTACCACCTTTTTTTTTATCTGTGGTGTAAATGGTAGAACAAGCCCAGCTGAGACTAGAGATGAATATGCAGGTTAGGAAGAAATTAACCTACAATGCACTGTTTGCATTTATTTCTTTTGTGCTTTAGAAGACATACTGCTTCTGTCATCAGGAATGCATTGTACATGTGTTAGCTTGTTACCGGAAAGTATTATGAGAGAGAAAAAAAGAAACAGAATCCTTGTGTTTGTTTTTGGGGGTTTTTGTCATTACTGCTTTGTTTTCTTTTCCCTTGAACCATATGAAATAATTTCAGTAAAGAATCATTGCTGCAAAATAAAATATACAGATTCAAAAATATCCAAAGCTTAATTGCTTTTAGATGCGTCTGCTGAACAAACTTGTTAGTTGAGCATTTAGTCAGACTCCTCATTAATCAATGTTGCACTCCTGTGTCTCCTGAGTCTTCTGGGTTTTTTGGGATCAGCTACTGTAATTAAAGGGATGAAATACATCATGGTCACAAACTTACTGTGTCACACAAATGAGTGTTTTGAGTAGGTGAAATTAATAGTTTTTTATGTCTTTATATTTTTACAGGTCTTCAAGATTGAGGTGTTTGTAAATGGAAGAAAACATTTTGTCGAAAAGAGGTATAGTGAATTTCATGCTCTCCACAAAAAGGTAATTATTTTCTTTGTAGAAGTGTAACTTAGTTATATCTTACTAAATGGTTGTTTAATTTCTTTTGAAGTTGTCACTGGTCATGTTGTATCTTAAGTATATGTTTATATTTCATGTTGGTTTGTTCACTATATCTTCAGTACTTTTGTTAAAGGGATGGGAGACTTCTGAAATATTTCATGCTTTGCTTTATTTTTGGCAGTACGGTATTCTATTTAAGACTGAATCTCATAAAGTTATAAAATAATATATATTCCTATAGAAAATAAATACGGAAAGAATTCTCTTTTCTAGTTAGGCAAGCAATTTCTGTTGCCTTTTGAGAGCTAGGTGACTAACCTCCACTTCATAGAACTGAATAAATAGCTCATATGTATTCAGCAAGCTAGAGAAGTATAAGACCTACTAGATCATAGTCCCTCCATTGCACTTTAAACCAATGTTATTTATCCACTATTAAATAATAGACTTCCTTTTATCCAGAGTTCTACAGCAAAGACATTATGTAAGACCTTGTATATTTAAGACGATAGTTTCACAGACATCCCAACTTGACACCAGTTAGTGTCTGAGTTGGATAGAATGGTGACAGGAAAATGTGATTGTCCCCTTCTAAAATAAGCTAGCTGATTCTACTTAAATTGGATGTTCAGAAAGGCAAATTTTAACATTTCTCAAGTTTTGGCAAAACAGGAAACAAGAATTCTGCAGAAGCAGAGCTAAGTATGACCTATAAGACACATTCAATAGACTCCAAAAGATACTGTTTCCTGGACTGTATCCGTCCTAGAACACTTTGCTGCCAGGTGTTTTGTTGACATACAGTTGCCGACATTACTTTGTCAGTTAGGTGTGCATACATTTGGCTGCTTTTGCTAGTGCAACATGTACAGGTTTCCCTCGTGTTATGCTGTGTGTGCGTTCCTGGAAAACGGTGCATAACTTGAATTTGCATAAAGGTAGCCCACTTCACAATGTAACAAAATAGGGATATGTTCCAAGACCTTGACTGTACTGACCCCCAGACCCATTTCTACCACTTTTACAAGACAATTTTGGTACCCATCAACAGCAGACAGTACAGGGCACTACTGTAATGGGGATGGCAACTACAGAAACATGTCACAGACAACGAGCGAGGAGCACAGATCCACACAGGAGACTATACTTTGGTGCATATCACTCCCAAAATACATGGCACAAAGCAGCTGACTATGGGCTTCCACCACACCAATTGCATAAGATTAAATTTACCTTGCATATAATGAATTTTTGGTATAAAAAGTTATCGCATAAGAGCAAATTGGTACATACAGAACCTGCATAAAGTGAGGGAAACCTGTACTCACTGAAAGAAGCTGTGTCAGCAAAATACTTGGTCTACCATGGCTAAGAACATAGGGCTTGCAGTTCCCAACATTGTTTTGTCATTGGAACTTTTCCACACTTGGTTTTAGTTGTGGTCTTTGGCAACAGACAGGCGGTGTCATTTGCCAACATGAATTTATTTAAGCGAGAGAGAGACCAGGGTTTGCCAGGATGTGCAAATGCATGGAAAACTGTGGCAGTATAATGAAATTTTTCTCAACAAAACTTTATAGAATAGATGAAGCCATAGAAAGCCTTAAATGATAAGAATATCATTTTGTTTGTAGATGTTTGCATAGCAGTTAGTATGTGTATGCATGTCTTTTTTCTCTGCACTAGATGCTGGCATGATAGTACTAGCTGCCACCTTAAAATCGTTCATTTCAATTTGCTTTCATGCTTTTGCCATTCATATTCCAAATATTTGGAGCTCAATTTTCTTTCTCTTTTTCCTTCCTCTTATATGCATATTGACTACTCTACTTCATGAAAAGTACCACTGAATAAGTGGGCCTATTTTGCTTAGCCCCAGTCTTGCAAAAATGTTTGCAAGTTTGCACATTTTTTAACTTTTCTCCTGGGAATAATCCCATATACACAGTGAAAGCAGATGTATGATGCTTTGCCAGTCAGAAACTTAAGAAAGGTATGGCTCACTGTTGGTAAGGAAGGCAGAATCTGGCCTTTAGGGCTAGGGACAGAACTTGCATGTAAACTGGTATAAGTGATTGGAAACAGGTTCAAACCTATAGCACAACAGAAGTTCAGTGCACACAGGGTACAAACAGAAGTGTAGCTCCTTGTTGTAAGTGAAAATACCTTGCAGGAAGCATTCTGAGTAACAACGATCTCCTGGAACAAACAGAAGTTCACTGTTGGTTCCAGGGAAGAGGGGAATCTACTTGCTGGCTGTGAGACTGCAGCCGGTTTCCCTTAGTAACAGCCTCTCCTTTCTCCTAGCCTGTCGCTGTTTCAGAATAGGAGGGGGGGAAAGGGAGGAGAGGGAGCTCATCCTAGGAGTTTCCCAGGTGGCTCTGGAGTTTGGGGTGGGTGTATTGGAGCCCTCCAAGATTTGGAGGGGGGGGACCCCAGTTCACCTGCCCCACCTTCCAGCAGGGGCTGAAAAACCCCAGACTGAACTCCCTTTGCTCGCTTTCCCCCCTCCCATTCTGAAAACAGCTTGATGTCATGCAGACAGAAGTTACAGAAGACACTCTATTTTGAAATGTCTTCATTTGACTCTTCATGCAATGAGGGGTCAGATTTTCACCCAATCAGCCATTTTTTAAACTGTCTGCAGCCATGCACTTGTGTTTGGTCATGGCCATAAGCTACTGTCTGTGGCCAGATAAGGCTAAAATTGGCACTTCTGTCTGTGCCCATAAACTGCTTTCAAAGTCACTGAAACCAGTTTAAGATAAGCCTGGATGGATGTAGCATCAGACTTAACTGATTTAGGTTAAATCAGTTTATTGAACTTCTGTCCCAGATCCCCTCCACATTCAAGTTAACTTCTAGTCCTCCTGCATCCCAGGATGCTTTGCATCTCCCCTGCATACCCTCCTCACAGAGTGGGTGAGCTAGTCTTGTCTGAAGCAATCTGCTCCAGCCAAGCTTTTGGCCTGGGCCACTGCAGGCATGTAGCTGCATTCCCAGAATCAAAAGTTAATATCTGTTCACTTAATTTTTAGTTCAGTCTCCACAGCTTAGACTAAACTGAAGGTTAAATTGATTCAGCCTCACACTTTTTGACCGTTTATATTTAGCCTAGATGTGTAAAATTATTTCTACCAAATGTGGTAATGCATAACTTCCAGTTTTAGTTTCCTAATTTTACTATAACTTCTGAAGTCGCCAGTTCATCCCTACACAATTTAGTTTCCATCTAACTTTCTGCCTTTTGAGATTTTTCACTTCCCTCTGCTCTACTCAAGTTTTGGGAGCAACTACAGTATTCAGAGCTTTCTCTCATTCTAGACTCTTTCATATGGATCCTTATGCCAGCATGGCTTCTCTTCAAATTCTATCTTAAAATGCTGTTTTTGATTGATAGTCTTTTCATCTCTTCCCCCAGAAATGGGAGTAAAATAAATAAGCTTAAAAGTGTGCAACTATAACAAGGCACATTTTATGCTTCACTGTTCAATTACTTACCTTCATTACACCTCATCTGCTCATTGTCTATTCAGCTTCAGTAGTGCACCGTTAACAGTAGTGACTTATATTTTCTTATTATATTCATTACAGAATAAATGTATCCATTGTACATTGCCAGTGTATTAATAGTTCCTCTATGAACACTGACTTTTTTAACTCCTTATAGTAGTATCAACTGTCAGAACCAATATCAAGTATTCTCCCGAATCCCCAAAAGGATAGAAATCTCGCCAAATTTTAATTACTTTCTCTGAAAACACTAGCATCTCTTCCTGTCACAATTTATATAAACTCTTAATGTGTTCAAGCATCTCCCATTTTGAGACCACTTTATAACACATTCTCTTCCCTTCAGCAGTTTATCATAAACCTTAATGCAAATCTTAGTTTTCTGCTGCAATAATACGTTAGGCATTTCCTAGCCTAATTTTTATGTCTTCTGTTCATAACAGAATAGAAGTATCTCAGTCTGCATTAGTGTATTTTTCTTTTCTATATGGACACCAGCAAGTCTTCAACACTGTCTGAGAAAGTTTGGCTTGGATGGATTCTATACTTTTCTTAAATTTCTTCCTCCTGTTCTCTATCTATAGATAAAACACTCTCATTCCTCTCTGATACTATTGGTAGGCCCCTAAACTGAGGACTTACTACCTTTTTAAAATTATGCCATAAATATCATATAGGGCACAATTTAAATTACTTCCCTTGGCAGCTATTCCATAGAAAAGCTAATACCTTTTAAAATTATAGTTGCCAAAAAGGTAGACTGAGAGCAACGTCATTCCCTGCAGGCTTTGCAGGTCCTTTAAAGCAGAGCTAGTGGATTGTAACATGTTCACTTCATTTTCAATCAATTTTTGTTGCAGAAAGACTTCTTTAAAGTAATTCCATCTGATTAAACAGTTTGTTTTCTATAATGTAAACAATCAATGTGTGTGTCATATAGTGGCCTTCCAGTGTTGGTGGCCATATAACAGTTTGTTTTCAGTACATCAGTCAAGCATTTTATGGTGCTCTTGCCTCCCAGCCTCATTTCCCTTTTAAAGAATAATCACTAGGGTAGAATATGTACCTAGAAATCTTAAGGTACAATATGAACTTCTTTGAGCCTGTGAAGCCAATGCTATGGGAAAAATATCCTTTTAAAAGCACCCAGTAACTCAAAGCATTCTGGCCTGATGATGTTTCCATAATGGACCAGAGCCAAATAGAAGTAGTGTGCGTAGAAAAGGAGAATTTTCCTATTTATTCTGTAAAGCAATGCCATTCCAGCATTATGTGGGGGAAAGTCTCTATTACCAGTTTCAGATAGGATAATCTTTATTCAGAACACCAGTGAAAATATTGTTTATTTGTTCCAAAGACAGCTAGCAGCAGCACATATTTTTGCTGCTGCTAGTTGTCCCCGGGCATGCCTCTGCACACGCACTCTGGTATGTGGCACATTGCCCTGGGTGGGGTAGGGGAGGCTG